ATATTCCCACAGAGAAAACTGTTCCATGATATTTTTTGAAACACACACATTCACTGACGTATACTCTTTCAGTTGGCGTCTTGAGGGCGGGTGACAAGGCTGTGATATGAAAAGGTGGTCCAGCAAATTATTAGGGCTTTGTGAAATCTTACTGGGAGTCAAGGTTTCCCACTGGATGGGGCCTTGGGTCCTTCTCCCAGCATGAAAATTTCTGGGAAAATTCCCATTTCTTGGGGGTTCATTGTTGTAATAGTCTGATCACTTCTCTTCTGAATACCTTCATTTCTGCCAGGCCAGCTACAACCCCCACCCCCCACCCAGTTTCTGTTTTAACTCTTCAGTCTTCTGTCTAAATAAATAAACAGAATGCAGAGAGGAATGGAGGTTAGAACATATTTAGTGTCGGGTATCTACACATAAGCATGTTTTTCTAGCCACTTGACTTTGGCAAGAGCTGGCACAAGCAACTTCATCTTGGTTTGAGAAAGGGGCATATGACGAAGCACAGACTTGCCTTAAATTCATTCTCCTCCTACTTTACTCTGTAAAGGCCAGGATGTCAGGAAAACACTGCCAGTCCCAGCAGGAGTCCATTTTAACTCTGACAACATCTTCCCTTTTCTCCACTTCTACTGGATGGCCACAGATCTTGGAGAAAGTATTTTCTGGGGCAAGAAGGAACGTACGACACAAGTACGTCTGTGGCCCAGGAAATACTTCAAGTACTCAGCTAGCATGCCCTAAATATCAATTGCTAAAACTTTAACTTGAATTGCAATTACAGTTCAGGGTACATACCGACCATTTTCTCAGTAGACATCTATTCAGTCTAGCCACTCATGTATTTACACATGACTTAAGAATTCAGCTTAGATATTTTGTTAGTTTTGTTGTTGTTGTGGGGGTGGGGGGACTGTTTTACTTTTTGAGACAGGTTTATGTATATCACAGGCGAGCCTCAAACTTCCTACGTGGCTGAGGCTTACCTTAAAACTCCCAGCCCTATCTATCTCCATTTCCCAATTGCTGGGATTATAGGTATAAACCACCAAAACGGGCTCAGCTTACATATTTTGACTTGCAACAAAAAAATAAACTATTCATAGTTTGTTAAAGAAAACGTTTTGACTGCATGTTCCCAGTGCAATCATGGAATTTACTTTGGAAATATTCGGTACCCTGAATCAATTAATGTCTTTAGCAACTATGAACCCCAGAATTAGGAAAGCCCACTGGTCTGATTAATGTTCTTCTGTAACACTGCAAGACACATGCAAAAAAAAAAAAAAAAAATCTACACCCAAAGGTTAGGCTGCCTTTGTATGATTCATCAGCCTTCCTTGGGAACAACGTCCCTTGAGGAACACAGTGTTAATCATATCTTTGTTACACAAGGATTTCATAACATACGCTGCTGAGTGGGAGCTTCACCCATATGGTTGCACCTAAGGCCTCTCTCTCACTTCCTGGATCAACATGGCTAAGCCCCACCCAGGGCTGTGCCGTCCACAGCTTGCTCATCTTAGTGGCCCCATAAAAGAGAAGCCCCGCAAGGCTGACGTAACTAAGGACACATTTACTTATGAGAATCTCCCCTCCATGTCATCCACCCTAGGATGCCCATTTCCTCGAATTCCCAAAGCCCTGAAATCCTACTTGTCCTAGCCTCGACCATGGATCCCAATTTCACAGGAAGCAGTTTTTCTGGCTTAAAGGGACACAGCGCAATTATCTGCTATATAATATTTGCTATTTGCTATTAGCTAGTAGTATACTATTAGCTATAGTAGTAACATGTGGACAAAATACATTGAAGAGTAGGTGTTATTCTACCGTCACTCCCGCCACACATATATTTGTGTGTTTTCTCAGTAAATGCTTATGCATCCACTCATTTATCAAATGTGTACTATTTATCTTATGCTAGTCATTGCATGCTGTGAAAATCGTCAATATGATACCATTCGCACCTAAGATTTCAGTGAGTTCATCAAATTCTGCACTTGGTGGGGAAAAAAAGGTTATATATCTCTTACTGAACAAGATACTCCAAATTTACGTCTAAAAACCTGGCACTATGAAAAACAGGATAAGGAATAATTAGTTTTTCAGAGTCACAGGGGAAAAATATTCTTTTTTTTTATGAAAAGAGATACAGGGAAAACCTACAGATTAAAAACAAAACCACTCAGGCCAGCTTAAGTAGTTCCTGCCTGTAACCCCAGCACTAGGGAGGCCGGGGGAAGGGAACCATGGTAAGCCTGGGACCAACCTAGGCAACACAGTGAGACCCTGTCTCAAAGAAAACAAGAACCAGACAAGCAAAGAAAAAAAATTGTTATGTCCTTATCAAAAAAAAATTAGACATGAATCTCATATAAATTTCTTTTTCTTTTCTAAAACAAACTTCCCTTCACTGAGTGCTGGGGTGATAAATGTGTGCTCACTGCCACGCCCAGCCCATAATATGGGTCTCAATTAAGGTTAAAAATTATACAGAAACTGTAATAACATCATGGAGATAACAGAAAACCTGAGTGTTGGCTAGATATTCAATGATACCGAGAAATTACTGTCAAATTCATCAGCTAAAATAATGCTACCATGGTAATTTTAAGGAGTATTTACTCTTTTCGAGACAGGGTTTCTCTGTGTAGCTTTGGCTGTCCTGAAACTTGCTTTGTAGAGCAGGTTGGCCTCAAACTCACAGAGATCCACCTGCCTTTGCCTCCCAAGTGCTGGGTATATATCTTAAAGATATATATTGAAATATTTATGGAAGAAATAACATATTTGAATCCTGCTTCAAAATATTTTAACAACTATCAGAACTTATTTCTATAAGTCAAAATGGGTCAAATATCTATCATGTCCTATTGAAAGTCAGGAAAAGGATGGAGGCACCAATGAAACAAATTTGGTGGATTGATTAATATTAAAATTAGGGTGCTGGTCTAGAGCAAATTTTACTTCTTCCTAAGTATATAATAAAACTACGATAAAACTACAACGTTTAAAAAAAATAAAACAAACAAAACCCCACAAGAAATTCATCATTAATCATGTGCTGTTTTTTTTTTATTATCTTTATTTGTGGGTGTCTGTCTGTTTGTCTATCTATCTATCATCTGTCTGTCTATCAAAGCCAAAGAGAGCTTTGGATTTCTGGGAGCTAAAGTTAAAGGTGATTGTGAGCCACCCGACATGGGTGCTGGAAACCAAACTCAGGTCCCCTAAAAGAAGCATTCTTTAATTTTTTTTAAGATTTTTTTTTTATGTATATGAGTGCTCTGCCTGCAGATCCCAGTATAGATGGCTGTGAGCCACAATGTAGTTGCAGGGACCTGAACTCAGGACCTCTGGAAGAGCAGACAGTGCTCTTAATCACTAAGCCATCTCTCTGGCCCACGCTATAAGCACTGTTAACCATCCAGTCACCTTTCCAATACCTAATTCTGTGTTATTTTTTAAAATAAATCAGAAACTTTAAAATATCAAAATAAAAGCAAAGTATTGCGGCTAAACAGGCTGCCTAAAATATTTGTTTTCCTTTACAGAAAAAAGTATCATTAAACTTTGAACAGCTAGGAAAGTTTTCCCTCAGGAGCTGGAGAAATAGCTTTGCTATCATGAATACTTGGTCCTCTATGAGTGGCTCCGGGTTCAACTCTTAGCACCCACACAGAGGCTCACAACTGTCCATAACTCTAGCTCCAAGGGATCTGAGGCCCTCTTCTGGTCTCTGCAGGGACCAGGAATGTACACAGACATGCAAGCAAGCCTATACACACAGAGAAAAATCTAAAAACAGTTAGCCATATGTATCCACAATCCTATGTTCCTACATATACAATTACTGGTCTGTACCAAACATATATAGACTTCTTTTCTTGTTATGGTTCCCTAAACAATACAACACAACAACTTTTATATCATGTTAGGTATTAAAAGTAACCAAGGGGTGATTTCAAGGAAATGGGAGATGCGACCAGGTTCTAGCCAAACACTTACATCATTTTCCAAAGAGGTAAGGAGAGGAATCCTGGGGAGCAGGACCCCAGGATTACACAGGATAACACAGGGTGCTGTTGCTTCTTGTCTAATGAGATACCTAAATTAAGTCACTCTGTGATTTTTCCTTGTTTTTTTTTTTTTTTTTTTTTTTTTTTTTTTTTTTCATTGTAAGTCTGAACTACTTCAAGTTCAGTTCTAAAAAGCCATGGGACCTTGCACAAAGGACAGCCAAACCTTATACTTCATTCCCTTCCTCTGCATACAGAAACCTGTGACCTATATCACTCTTCGGGAGAAAGGGGTTCTGAGTCTCTACCTGTACTGTCTGTTACTTTGCTTAGTAACTGATGGGAACCCCCCCCCCCCAGAGGCAAGGGATTATTATTAACTTTCTCACTAGTTAACAAGGGCTACATTAAGATCATTGAAATGTAGGGGTGGTTAGGCCACCTAGTTGACTGAAAACCTCGGACACATAAACCCATCCCCATAGAAAACTCTTGGGACTTGTGCAGGATGATTCGATCATGGAGCAGAAATGAACCAGTGAAACTCACACTGACAGAGTATCTGAACTACCGTGTTCCCAAGCTAATGACTTGTAATAGAACCGATATAAACTTCTTAGTTCTATAGTTTCCAAACCTATTTCAGAGTCTGAAAACATGTCAGAGTATTAGACAGGAGCTGATGGCTGGAGCTTAGCTGAAGCTGAGCGATCGGCTAAGGAGAGGGGAGTGTCAAGCTCAGCGAGGACGTCATTTGCATTTTTTTTCTCTGGGACACTGGATTAGGCAAAGTATCTATATGCATTCGTGTCTGCAAGTGGGTACATGCAGAGGAAGAAATGTAAAAAGCACATGAAACACAATAGCAAAAGGAGAAAAGCCAAAGCCTCCACAAAGCTCTTGTTCCTCACTTTGATGGAACAGAACATGAATGAATACACGGTCACAACATGTGCTTTCTAAACAACCAAAGATTACCTTGATGTGCTTAACTCTCTCTTCTTTTTCTGTCTTTGGTTTCTTTCCTGTGGCAACAAAAAGGTAAGTGTGGATCAGTTCACTGAAGGACAGGGAAACGTGGACTGTATTACAGTAAATTCTTTCTGAAACCCACTGCCTCATCTATAAAAGATCGAAATGCCGTATGTACCTTTTTGCCTTTGGATATACCCACATATCCAATCGATCAATGGATCAAGGATCCAATGAAAGTCATTTTTTCAAGGCAAATAAAGACAGAATTATCAGCTCTGGAGTGAAAATGTATTCTACCCTTCGAAGTGACTATAGAGACAGAAATAAAGGGAGCAAAAGGGTAGCATGATGTACACTGAGGGACCACTTACTCAGTCAACAAACAGCTTTACCTTTCTTAGAAGGTCGTTCGGATAAGGGCAACATCCGGTATACTCTGAAGGCATTGTTTCCTTTCTTTATACTTCTATCCTTCACTTCCTCAATATCAGGCAAGGAATTCATGGCACAACGAAAGTTTGCTTTCCATGTTTTTGGATCAGGTTTATCTACTCCTGGTTGATGCTTTCCTGGCAAAATAGCCAAAGATAAAGAAAAAGCAAGGGATATTACAACACAGGGGAAATGTCTAAAAACAGTACCGTAGAAGTGGGAGTGTGTGTGTGCAAAAAGACACCTTTTTGTTCTAGAAAACCAACAATCCCACTCTCCCTGCAGCTGAGACATTTCTAAGGTACCGACAATTTATCACAAAAACCTAGACAAAGGGAGCCACCCTAGGGTGAGCTGGTCACTCTGGCTCTACCACACAGTTTGAGGAGAAAAACAAAATGGCAGAATTAAGAATCAAACCATTCTAAATAAAAAAAAAATTAAAAAAAAAAAGAATCAAACCATTCATAAGGCTAGAAAGCCAACAAGCAGAATCAACCAGCTTCAAATGCTGAGAAAAAGGTCCACATCCAAAGCAATTCTGTAATAAAGAAGTGTATGACTGTAAGTAAGTGGTGCTAAAGTTCCCCTAGTGACCATGCAGAATGTATCAGAATACCACAGCTGTGGGGAATTTAAGGACCAGGGAACTCTGGGATAGTGGGACATCATCTCTGAGTGTTGTAGTCTATACTCCTCATACATCAACTAGATGTACCTGGGACAAGTCACTGGATTTTCATGAGGTCCTAACCCCGGATGTTAGTGTGACTGAAACAAAAGTAAACAGCAGCAACTGTGTCGATAAACAAGGCAAGGTTTAGTACCTGTATGGATCGCCCAGTTTCTGAAGAGCGGTGCATCCTTTTCCACATCCCACCCATGTCTAGCTGCATGCATCCAGGGGATCTGGAAAATCTTCTTTTCCTGAAATAAAGAAGAAGAAGAAAAAAAAAAGTTAAGTAAAAACTGACGCTGTAAGAAGAGACCATGGGCTTCTACAGTTCTAGTGCTAAACCTCACAGCCTAGCAAAACTGAGTTCGTTGAGTGTCTGCAGTGAAGCTAACTGTAAAAAAAAAAAAAAAGCCCATTAGCTAGGAAGATGGCTCAGTGGTAAAGTTCTTGCTGTGCAAACATGAAGACCCAGGTTCAAGCACCTACAAAAAAGCCAGGTGTGGTGTGTGCCTGTAGTTAGGTAACTATTATTATGATGAAACACCATGACCAAAGAACTTGAGGATGAAAGGGTTTTTTCGGCTTACACTTCCATATCACCGTGCACCATCAGAAGAAGTCAAGACAGGAACTCAGCAGGGCAGGAACCTGGAGGCATGGAACTGAGAGAGAGGCCATGGAGGAGTGCTGCTTACTGGCTTGCTCATCATGGCTTGCCTAGCCTGCTTTCTTATAGAACCCAGGATAACTTTCTTATAGAAGCCCAGGGATGGCACCACCCATCATGGGCTGGACCCTCCCACATTGATCACTAATTAAGAAAATTCCTACAGGCTTGCCTATAGCCAGATCTCATAAGGGGATTTTTTAAATAGAGGTGCCCTCTTCACAGATGACTTTAGCTTATGACAAGTTGACCTAAAACTATCCAGCCTGTACCTACAGTGCTGGGAGGGTAGAGAACGGAAGATTCCTAGAGCATGGCCAATCTTGCCCAGTCATTAGGCTCCAGGTTCAGTGAAAGACACTGTCTCAAAGAATATGGTGGAGAGCTACTGATGAGGACAACCAACATTACACACGCACAGTGGCAAACACATGAGCACACTGTATATATGCAACACACACACATAATTTGAAGAAAACTTAAATAAATTTTTTTAAAAATCCCACTGCCCCACTGGTCTCTAATTCTGACAATCTATGCAGGAGGAAATTCAGAAGTGTACTGTAAGGTCAAAGGTGAAGATTCATGCTACGATGATGTGTTCCATGCTTTGTTCCCCTCCCCTTTCATGCTACCGCGGACAACGAACTGCTGGCTGAAACTTCCAGTACATATTTTACATCTCTTCTGGTCATGCTGCTTAAGGCATGTATAGTGTATTGGAGCCCACTGCCACAGAAAACACGTATCTTCAGTTTTACATGGGTATTTACCAAACATAGAGGGTTGTCTGTGTGTGTGCATGTGTGTGTGTGTGTGTGTGTGTGTGTGTGTGTACTGTTCTAATCCCTCCAGGTTCACTATCCTGGACATATCAGCAGGAAATGCAAAGCTGTCCAGTCTGGCAAAAAGTTCAATGTAGAGAAAATATGGTACATTTATATAATGTAATACTACTTAGCTATTAAAAGACATCACACAATTTGCATACAAATGGATGGAACTAGAAAAGATCATCTTGAGTGAGGTAACACAGACCCACAAAAACTCTCATGGTGTATATTCACTTATAAGTGGGCATTAGCCATAACGTACAGGATAGCCATGCTACAACCCACAGACCCAAAGGGAGGATGCTTGAATCTCACTCAGATGTCTGAAGAAGATGGAGGGAGGAAGCTGTGTGGGAGAGGGAATGGGGAGGGTTGGGATGAGGGTTGGGATCAGGAGTGGGGAGGGGAGGGGAGGATCTGGAGAGAGAATGAAAAAAGTAGGGGAGCATCTCTGGGGCAGGGGAGGCCCCTGTGAGTATACGGGGTGACCCTAGCTCATAGCCCTAACAGTGGGGAACATGCACCCTGAAGTTGAAACCTCCTGTAGCCAGGTGGGCCTTCCAGTAGAGAGAGGGAGACACCAACCCACCCATTAAACCTTCGATCCAAAATTTCTCTTGCCTGCAGAAAGTATAGAGATTGCAGAAATGGTAAACCAATGATTGGCCCAACATGTAAGCCACCCCCATGGGAGAGAGCCAAACCCTGACATTATTAATGATACTCTGTTATGCTTGCAGACAGGAGCCTAGCATAACTGCCTTCTGAGAAGCTTCCTCCAGCATCTTATAGAAACAGATCCAGAGACCCACAGCCAAACAATAGGCCCGAGCTCAGGAAGTGTGGAAGGAAGGATTGAGGGAGCCAGAGGCATCAAGGACATAACAAGAAGACCTACAGAGTAAACCCATCTGGGCTCATGGGGGCTCACAGAGACAGAACCACCAACCAAAGAGCGTGTGTGGGCCAGGCCTAGATCCCTGTACATATGTAACAGCTGCCTTGTCTGGCCTCAGTGGGAGAAGACATGCTTAGTCCTGCTGTGACTTGAGGTGCCAGGGTGGACTGGTGCCCCTTAGCAACACTCTCCTCCCCTCCCCCTTCTCAGAGAAGAAGGAGAGGATAGAATGAAGGGCAGGGAAGGGGGTATGAGGACAGGACTGAGGTATGAGGGAGAAGAGAAGGGAGGGGGCTGGGATCAGGCTGTGAAGTGAGTAAATAGAATGTTTAAATCTTGACAAAAAAAGTTCAATATAAACATTACACTAGACTCTATCTTTCTTACCGCCTGAGCACAACTCACAGTTGCTGAAATCAAATCCAGCAAACACATGCTCGGAAACTGATGCTCCAGAAAAACGTCCTACTCTTAGTGAAACCTCATATATGAAAAGAAAGGTGGGTAGGCCGCCCTCTGGCCATGTCAGTACACTGGACATCCGACTATGCAACTCCACATGAGGCTTGCTTTTGTTTCTTGCAATTGCCAAAGGAGTTAAACTTACAATTTCCATTTCACAAGTGAGGAACCGAAGGAAGCAATTCAATTATTTCACCAGGGAACTTTTGGTTCAAAGTATCTAAAGTCAACGCCAAAGCTGTGAGATCCCCTGTAACTCATACACTGTCTCTCTCCTTTCAGACCTGAATTCTCTGCCCTGTTGACTTGCATTCTGTGGAGATTAAAACCTGGGGGATGTGCCAGGGGGTAGTAGTGGTGGCGCACAGCTTTAATCCCAGCGCTCAGGACCCAGAGTTAGGCAGATCTCGGTGAGTTCGAAGCCAGCCTGATCTACAGAGTGAGTTCTAGGATAGCCAAAACTATGCAGAGAAACCCTCTCTCAAAAACAAAACAAAACAGGAATGTGGCAGGGTTTGGGAGAGGGTAAGGGAGGAAGGTGTGGTTTGTTTGTCTGTTTAAAGCTTTTGGGTAGTCCTGATAATTGCTAAGTAGCAGGGATACCAGCATCACAAAAGGCAGAAAGAAAAGGAAGGTCAGTAGGGAATTTCCACCAGAGGATTTCACACAGTAAAATCTAGAAAGGGACCCAGCTGTCTCAAAGAGACTCGAGACCTCCACAGAACCATTCGCAGAGACTAAGCTGACAATATTTCAGAATGCTGGAGAGTTTCCAAAACTGTTATTAGGGGGAAGAAAAATCTACTGTATTTATACCAGTCAGTAACTAAAGAAGAACTGAGAGCCATAGACAGTTTCATACACCCTTCGCTGTTCAGCATGTGTCTTCTGCAGGTGGGCCAGTGAAGTCGGGGAAAACACAAGAAGGCCAAGCAAAATTTCAGCTTTTTAACGGGCATGAAATTCAGATGTCTCACCCCTAAATGAGAACTCTATATCTAACCCATGAAATCTTGGACATCACAGAAGAAGGGGCAGAAAGACTGTAACAGTGGGAGGACGGGAGGAAGCTGTGACTTGACAGGATCATTGTGCTTACAAACTAGCGGCAGCTATGTCCACCTGCGTAAGACCAAGCATGTCTCATCCTCGGCTGAGGAGCTACCCTGCCAGCCGATGATTGCGTAGGGAGGGAAGGCCATTTGTCTTTGGGGGTGTGGCAGTTAGTATACTGTTCTCGAGCTGGCCGATGGCCTTGAACCCATGCACGCATCGTGGGAAATAATAACAAAACTCAGTGGGTGAGTTAAAACAAAAAGAAAGAGAACATGAAAAGTTGGAGGGGGATCCAGGAGAAGAGGGAAGGTGAGGCAGGGATGGGATCAAAGTTATTACTTACATGAATAAAACTGTCAAAGAAGAAACACAAAAATGTTCTTTTAAAAAGGGGGGGAGAGAGGAATTCCAAAGCTTTCTTTTACTGGAATGAATCCCCTATAATCTAAAACTTCCTGATTAAAAATACAGACTCTGAAGAATGTGTTAGTTTTTTGGTTTTTCTAGATGAAAAAAAAAAAGTTCTGGTGTAACACAATCTGAATTCTATTCCACAGGACACAAGGCAACATCTTTTCATGCACTCTGTAAATGTGCAAACACATACACACACACACACACACATGCACACACACTCACACACATACACACTCACTCACACATACACACATACACATACACACATATACACACACACATACACACTCACACACACACACTCACACACACACACACACTCAAACACACACATACACACACACACTCATACACACTCATACACACATACACACACACACACACACATACACACACACACATACACGCTCACACACACACACACACACACACACACACACACACTCACACACACACCATGAAATCATAAAAATAGTGACTGAATCCAGCAATGGCCACTACAGATCATCCTGACATGGGTAAAGAACCCAAGCAGACATTTCTCCTAAAAAGGAATATATACGTGAAAATGAGCTGGTTGTTACCAACCACTAAAGAGTTGCAAATTAAAATAACAAACATCTCACCCTCACCAGAACAGCTAGAGAGGGAATAAAAGTAAACCAGAAGATAGTGTGTGAGGATCTGGAGACACTGGAACTCCTGTGCACTGTGAGGAAATGAGGAACAGCACAGCCACTGTGGGAGATCATCTGGCCATTCCTCAGAAAGGTAAACACACAAGTTGCCGGCTGGCAACTCCGTAATTTCACTTATGTCTGGATGTGTACTCAAAGAATTACAACATGTATCCAACACAAACTGCAATGTGGATGTGCATATAGTTACAAAGCCCAAAGATGGAAATAGTCCAAAAGT